GATGGTGAGAGTTAAGTCTATTATGTATATTGAAACACCATCTGTATTTTTGAGAACACTGACACCATATTCCAATATCCAAGGGGAACCTGTGTGGATTTCTGCTTGTTCTAATTGCTGCAGTACCTGAAACAGATTCACGGCCTCTCCATCTGCACCATGTTCCTGACGCCTGCCATGCACCATTTGACAATCTGCAGTGCTGTGCTCTCTCTGTGACCCCATCTTTCCCACTGCATCATTTAGCTCAAATATGTTCAGCCACAGAGGCTTTCCAAATCATTCACTTAGTGACCAAGGGCAGAGTTACCTACCACCCGCAAGGGAATGAGTCATCATATCATGAAGGCCGCTGAAAAAAAGAGACATTTGTCAACAGATTCTGTGTGTTGTAGAAGATGAGTTCAAATGTAGGACACCATGCAGATTTAGTGGTGCATAATAGATGAGTAAATTTTTGACAAGAAATGTGAGGCATCTCCAGAAAAAGGAAATAGAAAGTTAAATGTTTGTTGTCAAATAGCCACTGTGGGATCACCATTGAATAAACAAGGTCCTTCCCTGTGCCAGCACTGCTCTCAGAAAAATAACGAAAGCGACAAGACTCCCACGTCATTGGGACATATTCTGGGTTTGTCGTAACACCTAATTTTGAATGTGTGCCATTGACATAGTCTGTCACTTTCTTTTGCTTGGGACGAGAATGGGGATAAAACAGAGGTAAATATAAGATATCTCTGCTCTCAAGGTACTTTTTGGAAAGAGGTTCTTGTGTCTCCATTAACTTGCTTAATGTATTGTATAACGATAATATAAGAACAATAAACCACCACTTGTTAAATGCCTAGAAGCTCTAAACTCTTTACATATGTGATTTCTCACCTAGCCAAACCATTTATCCATTCGTAAGATGTGAAAACTGAGGACCAGAGACTTAGTGATTTCAGTCTATAACCAAGTCTGCCAGACACTAGAGGCCAAGCTCCTTTCACTACGTGGTTACTGCCTCTCCTGGAAGTGTTGTAAACTCTGAGGAACTTGGTAGATTTTGGATTTCTATGCTTTGATTTTTTAATACCATTTTTTGAATTATAATACAGTTATTGTATTAGACAGCTTTGACTGCGATAATGCTACATAACAAACAATCCCTACATCCCAGTGGCTCACCATAACAAACTTTTTTTCTTGTTTCTATGTCTATGGGCCAGCTGAAGTTTGGCTGGTCTTGGTTGAGCTCGATTGGGCTCAGCTGGGTTCATCTGCAGGTCAGGCTGGCATTTACTCCACATGTCTCGTGGAGCAAGGAGCTACTCAGAGCACGCTCTTCTCATTGCCATGGCAGGAGTGGACGATCCAAGCCAAATTACACAACGGTATTCCAAGTCTTTGCTCATGTCACATCTGCTGCTATTCCATGGGCAAAAGCAAGTCATATGGCCAAGCTCAACAGCAATAGACAGGGAAGGAAAATACATTCTGCCTACTTTAGAGAGAGGTATGCCTAAGTATCTTGGCAAAGAGCATGAATACATATTTCTAGAACAGAGAGGGAGAGAAGAACGGTCACAATAATCCAGTCTATCACCAGCAGATCTTAATTATTCATAAAATGTTGTAGATTTTCCAAATATGTTCAGTAGAGCCTCTGGGGAATCTATGTAGATTTTCATCTCTGTTCCAACCAGAGAAGTTTTGCTTTTATAAATTTTATATATTGGGCTTCTATATAAAATTACTTTGAACAAAGTTTAAATAATATAAATACTTAGAAACCACTGGCTTAGGTGATTATAGTTAACAAAAAATCATGTATGTAACTTTAGGAGGGTCTATTTTATAGTTAATTTACCATCTATCTTCTTCTGCTTTAAGTGGATGAAATTAATCTGTGCTCCATAAAGAGAGACAGTACAGAAGAATGGTTAAGAATCTGGTTTTGGCACTGTCTAGCTGTGTGAGCTTGAGCAAGTTACTTATTCTCTTTCTATACTTTACTTGTTTTTCCCAACAGTAAAATGGGAATAATAAAAATACTTTTGGGCTGGCCCAGTGGCATAGTGGTTAAGTTCGTTCACTCCACTTCGGCAGCCCAGGGTTCACCGGTTCGAATCCCGGGTGTGGACCTATGCACTACTTATCAAGCCATGCAGTGGCAGGCTTCCCCATATAAAATAGAGGAAGATGGGCACAGATGTTAGCTCAGGGAAGATCTTCCTCAGCAAAAAGAGGAGGATTGGTGGCAAATGTTAGCTCAGGGCAACTCTTCCTCAAAAAAAAATCTAAATCACAGGGTTACTGTGAATAATAAGGAATGAAAGCATATAACATGGTTGTGGCAATGCCTGATATATAGGAAAATACTCAATTAGTGATGCTTACAGGAGACCCACTATTAAGTAGAATGGTAGGACAAAGCAGATCTGATTAAGCAAGATAGGGGAAGCAGATATTCAGGTGAAACCTAATTATCAAATTCTATTCTTTCAAAAATATTTACATACATTTGAAAGCACAAAATAATATGCATAATATATATGAAAGTTAAGGTAGAAAATATTAAAATGCACACATTGTGCTCACCATGGGATCTAAAAACTTGACTGTTACCAGTACTTTTTCCTCAAACTATGTGCTCCTTTTCAACCTATCTCCCTGCTTAACACAAACTTCCCAACTATCATTTCTATGTAGTATAGCATAATGGTTAAGAATGCAGGCTCTGAGCTAGACCAATTGCATTGGGGAAGTTACTTAACCTCTTTTTGCCTCAGTTTCCAAATTGTTATTTTGGGGATAATTCATTTTTACTTCGTAAGAAAATATTGGTTAATACATTCGTAGCATGGAGAAAGAGGCCTTTCACATAAGCACTGCACCATTCTTAACTGTCAATCATTATTATCATTGTTATTAGCCACAAACACGTCACTAAATGACATTCTGTTTGGCTTTGCTTGGCTTTGAGTTTTACAGAAATGGAATCATAAAGTCTATGTCCTCTTTTGTGGCTTGACTTTTCAACTTAGCATTATGCTTCTAAGTGTCATCTGCATATTGTTGCATAATTTTCCATTGAGTGAATATACTATGATTTATTCACTTTATTATTAGTGTTGTTTTTCATGTACATATTTTTCCATTTACATATTTTTGTGTTGTTTTTGTGTTACTTTTCATCTACATATTTTTTTCTATTAGGAATGATGCTGTTATGCCCATTCTTGTGCATACCTATTGGTGCACACATGTAAGAAGTTTCCAAAATTTACACCTTCAGTAAAATTTCTGGACTGTGGGGAATTTAAAATGTTCAGTCATCTAAGATGGGACCAAATTGTTTCCAAAGTGCTTGTATCAATTTACACTTCAACCAGCGGATCTTTGGCCTTGGCAGACTTCTGAATTTGTGGCCAAATTAGTAGGCACAAAACGATAATGCACTGTGATCTTAATTTGCATTTGTATGATCATAAGGATGAATATAATTTTTTATGTGTATTGGCTCTTCATACTTTCTCTTTTGTGATATACCTACTCTTGCTTTTTTTGCTATTTTTCACTGGGTTATTTTATTTTTCTTATTGAATTGTAGGTGTTATTTATTCTTTGGATACTATTTCATTATTGGTTATGTATGTTACAAATACTATCTACAATGTTGGCTTGATTTTCACTTTCTTCATGGTGCCTTTTTATAAATAAAATTTCTTAATTTTAATACAGTTAAACTTATCAATCTTATCTCTTATGTTCAATATTTTAGATCATTCCTAACCCGAATTCAAAAATTGTTCTCATATTATTTCTACAAAAATTTTAAAGTTTTGTCTCTTACATTTAAGAACATAGCCATTTGGTATATATTTTTGTGTACGGTGTGTGCTAAAGATCCAACTTAATTTTATCCACATGGACAAATGCATCACTTATTAAATTGTGATGGAAAATTAAACTTTTCCTCATAGTCTGCAAGGTTATTTCCATCATACTCTGAGTTTGCGTATATGTATGGCTCTATTTTGGGGCTCTCTCTCTTTTTTTTCATGTTCTACAGGTCACTTTATTCCTGAGCCACTACAACACTGTTTTAATTAAAATAGCATTATAATGAGACTTGATACCTGGGGCAGCAAGTAGCCCCTCTTTGTTCTTTATCTTGAGTAACGTCTTGGTTACTCATAGGTCTTTGGTTTTCCATATAAATTTTAAAATAAGCTTGGTATTCTGAGGGTTAACTACAATGGATCTATTTTTGTTTATTCCATTTTGGATTAATTTTGTCTCTTGGATTTGTAAACTGATATTTCTCACTGGATCTGGAAAAATCACAGCCATTATCTATTCAAGTATAACTTATCCTTCATACTGTCTATCTTCTCTTCCTGGGACTCTAATAAACTATATGCAAAAACCATCTCATTCTGTTTTCTCCATTGTTTAAGTCATTCTTTCATATTTTTCATCTTCTTTTCTCTTTATGCAGGAACATGTGTGTCTTCTTTTGATTTATCTTCCAATTTACTAATTCTCTCTTCATTAGTACCTGATCTGCTTTTTAACTATTTCACTGATTCTCTGGTTTCAAAAACTTTATTTTTCATTTTGAAAGATTTGATTATTTAAAAAATATGGTTTGTTACTTTTTAGTATGTCATTTTTCTTGTTTTTAAAATAAAATCTTATTTTTAAATTTTTGCAATATTTAATTCATAGTTTATAAACCATTTGTGATAATTTCAATGTCTAGATGCTCTGGAGAGAAGAACTCTGTTCTTTGTTATTTTTTAAGATTCTCATTCATTTTGTTTTATTTCCTTGTGTATTCTTTGCATTTGTTATAATAAACCCAAATTTCACTGATCTTATTATATAGGAGTTCTGGAAACCTAAATTGAGAATGTTGTCATCCAGAGATGAATTCAAAATAGAAATTGCTACAAGCACTTTGAAAACAATATGACACTTTATATAATTAAACATCTGAAAAACTTGCTTACTTCCTTTCTTGTTTCCTTGCAAGAAACCAGATGGTGTTATGGACTGTGGGTGATCCTTTTATGCCCCTTTGAAACGTTGCCTAAATGAAGGAATCTTGAGTTCCACCCTCTTCCATTCCATTGTCCTTAGAATCCTGTTCAATATCAGTCTTACAGTGGACAGATTTTAACATGGCCACCATGATCCCCGCCTCCTGGAGTACATGGCCTTGTATATTTCCCTCTCCTTGGGAGGGCAAGAACTGTAACTTTCTTTCACCCAATAGAATAAGGCAAAGGTGATTGGATGCCATTCCCATCATTGTATTACACTGTACAAGACTCCATCATCTAGCCAACTTGCTCTAAAAATCTTTCCCTCTTTGCTGACTTTGGAGAAAAAAGCGGCCATGAGTATTAAAACTTCAAGGAAATGAATTCTTCCAACAATATTAGTAAACTTGGAAATAAAACTTTCTCTAGTCAAGCTTCCAGAGGAGAACCCAGACCTTGTTGATAGCTTGATTGCAGGCTTGCAGAGGACCCAGCTAAACTAAGACTCTTGAGTCACACAAACTGTGAGATAGTAAATGTATTTTTCTTTAAGTCACTAAGTTTTTGGTAATTTGTTATGCAGCACAGAAAAGAAACACAGCTTGATAGTTTCTTTTTCCTTCAGGGAAAGGCTACCTTTTATGCCTCACTTTTGAATGCTCCCTGCCCTTGTTTCAGATGTCAATTTTTTTCCTCTCAAAGGGGTGGGGGACTAGTAGTGTTTCAGACGGAGAATTTGAGAGGTGCTTAGAAATTTTCTGTTATTTACTATACCTAAAAGTGCATTAAATTTTTTGTTTTTATCAAACCTAGCCATCTAATAGAAGGATGGTCTTTCAGAATGTTGTCTGCCTCATGTTTTAAAGCAATAGTCCTCAAATTAAATTCTTTTCATCGAAATCAGAAAAAAGATGTTTTATGGTTGATATATAGATTCTAAAAAGCATACCACTTTCTGTTGGAAGAAAAGACTTCAGATGGAAGAATGCAGCTTTCAGATGAGAAATAGGAGAATGGTAAGTTATATTGATTTTATATTGTTAATATATTGACTTTATATTGATCCAATATTCAAAGAGAGAAATTGAAAGAAAGAAGGAGAAGGACATGAATTAAATTTTTAGCTTTGTAGAAATAACATCTAATCAAACTCTAACTGGAGAGAACTGAAAAGATCTGCCCAGAGGAACTGCCAAAAGAATTCAGACACTCTCCACAGATTCTCTGCATTCTTCTTTTTTGGGACAATGAACAGAGGGGGAAAAAAGATAATCTATTTTCTTTTCTCTTCTCTGACTTTCCAGAAGCTAATGCCGACCTACCCCAATAAGAAGAGGTTTCCGTGGCCAAGTCAAATGAATGATTCCTTTGTAAGCTTGTCTATAACGATTTATTAAGCAGCCAGCAACCACCTACCATCAGTCCTTTGAAATCAATCCATGTATCTCAACTTAATTTATTAATATTTTTTCTCCTTTCTGGTTGGTTTTCTCTATGAAAGTAACATTAATGTGATTGCTACTAAAATTAGCATCATCTTTTTCTTTTCAGTTACATGAACAACATTCGACTGTTACTTTCTATGTGTTAGAAACTGTGTGAATTGATTTACATAAGTTGCCCCCAGTTAGTCTCAAAATAGGCCTCATTAACATTACTCATCATATCATTATGAAGAAAATCATTAAAATATTATTCATAGTAATGTATGTTTTACGAATCAAATAGTTGAAAAGATACAGTGATAAATAGAAGGCCCCTTCATCACTCCTCATCCCCTACATGCCACACTCCAGAGACAAACTCTTTAATTCTTTTTAACAGTTTTACCTGATATTTAGGTATATATTTTAAAATAACTTGCTTAGCAGTCTGCTTATTGCCTTTAAAAATTTTACATATTATATTCTGATTCCTTCTATGAAGAAGATGGCTTTCCCCTTATGATCAGAAACAAGGCAAGGGTACTCCTTCTCACCAGTTCTAGTCAGCATTTTACTGGAATGCAATAACACAAGGAAAGGAAATAAAAGGTATACAGATTGGAAAGGCAAAAATAAAACTGTATTTTATTTATTTATTTGCTAAGGAAGATCCTCCATGAGCTAACATCTGTGCCCATCTTCCTCTATTTTTGTGTGTGGGTTGCTGCCATAGCATGTCTGCCAATGAGTGGTATAGGTCCATGCCTGGGAACCAAACCTGGGCCACATAAGTGGAGCATGCTAAACTTAACCACTAGGCCATGGGGCCAACCCTAAAACTGTGTTTGTTTGATGATACCATGATTATATATGTAGAAAATCCCAGAGCTGACAAAAAGAACATCCCTGGAACTAATAAGCTATTATAGCAAGGTTGAAGGATACAAGGTTAATATACAAAAGTCAACTGCTTTCCTATATACCAGCCACAAACTATTGGAATGTTAAATTTAAAGCACAATACTCTTTACATTAGCACCAAAAATGAAATAGGCATAAATCTAACAAAATATGTACAGGATCTATATGAACAAAACTATAAAACTCTGATGAAAGAAATCAAAGAATATCAAAATAAATGAAGCGATAGTCCATGTTCATGGATAAGAACATCATTAAGGTGTCAGTTCTCAATGTGATCTATAGATTCAATGCAATCCCAATCAAAATGCCAGCATGTTACTTTGAGTATATCAACAAACTGATTATAAAATTTGTACAAAATGACAAAGGACCCAGAATAGCCAATACTATACTAAAGAAGAACAAAATTAGAGGAATGACACCACTAAATTTGAAGACTTACTATGAAGCTACAGTAATGAAGACAGCATGGTATTGAAGAAGGAATGGACAAACAGATTAACAAAAAGAATAGAGAGCCTAGAAATAGACTCACACAAATATAGTCAACTGATCTTTGGCAAAGGAACCAGGCAATTCAATGAACAGCGGGTAATTTTTCCAACGAATAGTGCTGAAATAACTGGACACCCACATGAAAAAAAAAGAATCTAGACATAGAATTTGCATCTTTAACAAACATTAACTCAAAATGGATCATAGATCTATATGGAAAACATAAGCTATAAAACTTCTAGAATATAACAGGAGAAAATCTAGGTGACCTTGAGTTTTTAGGTAAAGCACCATAAGCATAATCAATGAGAGAAAGATTGATGTTGGACTTTATTAAAATTAAAAACTTTTGGGGGCCGGCTCCGTGGCCGAGTGGTTAAGTTCGCACGCTCTGCTCCGGCGGCCCAGGGTTCGGATCCTGGGTGTGGACATGGCACCGCTCGTCAGGCCACGTTGAGGCGGCGTCCCACATCCCACAACTAGAAGGACCTGCAACTAAGATATACAACTATGTACAGGGGGGGTTGGGGGAGATAAAGCAGAAAAAAGAAATGATTGGCAACAGTTGTTAGCCCAGGTGCCAGTCTTTAAAAAAAAAACAAAAAAACTTTCTCTCTATAAAAGACACTGTTAAGAAATTACAGAACAAGCAACAGACTGGGAAAAAATATTGGCAAAATACATGTTTGACAAAGGACTTGCATCTAAAATACACAAAGAACTCTTAAAACTCAACAATAAGAAAACAAACAATCCAACTTTAGAATGGGGAAAAGATCTGAAGAGACACCTCACCAAAGAAGATATAAAGATAGCAACTAAGCATATGAAAAGATGCTCAACGTCATATCTCATAAGGGAATTGCAAATTAAAACAGCAATTACATATGACGCATGTATATTAGAATAGTTAAAATCCCAAATATGACAATAGCAAATGCTGGTAAGGATGCAGAGCAACAGGTCTCATTCATTGTCGGTAGGAATGCAAATGGTATAGCTACTTTGGAAGATAGTCTGGCAGTTTCTTACAAAGCTAAGAGGAATTACTATATGCTACAGCAATCATTCTCCTAGGTATTTATCCAAATAAGTTGAAAGCTTATGTCACATAAGAATCTGCACATAAATGTTTACAGCAGCCTTATTCATAATTACTAAAAACTAGAAACAATCAAGATGTCATTCAATAGGTAAATGGATGAACAAAAAGTGGTACATGCATATAATGGAATGTCATTCAGTGATAAAAAGATTTGAGCTATTAAGCCATGAAAAGACATGAAGGAACCTGAAGTGCATATTGTTAAGTGAAAGAAGTCAGTCTTAAAAAGCTATCTGTTGTAGGATTCCAATTATTTGACATCCTGAAAAAGACAAAAATATACAAACAATATTAAGAGAGGTGTTTGCCAGAGGTTTGGGGGATGGGGGGAGGGATGAATAAGTGAAATATAGGGGTATTTTAGGGCAATTAAACTATTCTGTATGATATCGTAATGGCAGATACATGACATTACACATTTTAATCTCTTCCTTTACCCACAGAACTGTACAACACAAAGTGTAAACCTTGACATAAACTATAGACTTTTATTTCAATACTGGTCCATTAGTTATAACACATTTACTATATAATGCAAGATATGAATAATATGGGAAACTGTGTGTGGGAGGGGTTACTTGAGTATTCTATAAGCTCAATTTTTCTGTCAATATCAAAGTGTTCTAAATAGTAAAGTCTATTAATTAAAAAAACTTACATGTTATATTCTGACTTCCTACTACGATTAAATTTGCTTTAGTTTTCTCATACTACCTGTCCTCCTCTCTCCATATGTTTCTTAATTTTTGTTGAATCACCGCTCAGTGCAGAGATGATTATAATGATGTAAATATTGTTATCAACTGAGCAGCGTAGAATATTATGATTACAATTTATTTCTTGTACATCTATTCATTTTTTTCTGTAGTTTTAATTGCTTTCCAACAAGAACTGAAAAACACCTCTTATTATAATCAAGCATCTCAGTTTGTTTATCAGTTCACATTTTTCCTGAATCCCTATTTCTTGGAGCCCTCTGTCCTCTTGCTCCAATCTAGATTGATTTCTTTCTAGTCATTTTGCTCACTTGTTTTTTCCTTGAACTTCCCTTCATTATCACCCTCAGAGTCTTCTTACCTCACTCCTTTCT